ATGTGTGTGGTGATGGGTTGTAATTAGTATTTTGATGGTGAACATGATGTAATCTATGCAGAAATAGAAGTACAATGATGTACACCTGAAATTTTTACAATGTTATAAACCAATGTTACTGCAATAAACAAAAAATTAAAAAAAAAAAAAAAATTTGAAACTCACCACAGACAAAATGGTAATATATTTCCTAAGAACTTATACAAATCAATAGGATAAACAGTCCAATAGAAAAATGTCCAACACTGCTTATAATATAAATGCAATATAAAACTACATTAAAATATATTCTTTTCATCCAACTATAAGTTTGACAAAGACCCAAATATTTCCTAGCACTATGTTGTTGATAAGCGTAATGAAACAGTCTTAAATACTGCTGTTTGAAGTATAAATTGCTTCAATCCTTATAGATAGAATTTGGACAATATCTCTCATATACTCTCTGATCTAGTTTCTAATTCTTACTGATAAATGCACTCATGTGTGAAATACTACATAGACAAAGATCATCACTGCAACATTATTAGTAATTGCTGAAAGTGGAATCAATATCTATTGATAGAAGACTGGTTAAAAATATCATATATCCCTGCAAAGGAATACTATGCAGCCATTTAAAAAATGAGGCAGCTACAGATATACTTACGTGAAATAATATTAAAAAAAATAATAGAAGGTAAAGAATGGTGTGCATATTTTGTTACACCCATTTCTGTAAAAAAATAAAGGAGGATTGGATGTAGCAAATCTGTTTATATATGCATGGACTATTTCTGGAAGAAACTGGTAACAATTGCTCTGAGAAGGGAAACTGAGCAACTACAGGACAGGAATGTGACAGAAATTTACTTTCCACATATATAACTCTTTGTCGCATATAACTCTGTCGCTTTTGATTTTGTACAATGTATCTGCTGTATGTAATATATATAAATTAAGTAATTAAACATCTTATTTAAAATTAAGTCTTTAGGGCCGGCCCCATGGCTTAGCGGTTAAATGCGTGTGCTCCGCTGCTGGCGGCCCGGGTTTGGATCCCGGGCGCGCACTGACGCACCGCTTCTCCGGCCTCATGGCTGCGTCCCACATACAGCAACTAGAAGGCTGTGCAACTATGACATACAACTATCTACTGGGGCTTTGGGGGAAAAAATAAATTAATTAATTAATTAATTTAAAAAAAAAATTAAGTCTTTCTTGTGTCTTGACTCTGGAGCCAGACAGACCTGGTTTCAAAATCTTTTTCCACCTCAGAGTATCTATGTACAAGGCAATTACTTAATATACTTGAACTCCATTTTCTTTAACAATGGGATTATGTTATGACATGCAGTTGTGATGTCTAAACGAGACAATGTATATAAAATCCCTTGTATGGTATTTGGCACATAGTGGCATGTAACAAATATTAGAGACCCCTTGACCTTTTCCTTCCCCTCAACTTACACTCAAATTGAACGACTCACATTTTTTTAAAGTTTGATCTAAAATGGATCAAGATATAGGGGTACAAACCATTAATCTGAGAGAAAATCTTTAGTTTTTAGGGGATAGTTTGCTTTATCAAGACCCACACATGGCCATCTATAGGTTTCTCTTTATAAAGTATTATAATATAAGCTCCTAAATAATTAAATGTGGACCAGCCAAGCCTGTTAAAACAGTATAGATGACATTACAAGAGAACATTTAATGCTTCCTAGATCCTGCCTAAACATGCTTGGTTCTCAAGTTAATTTTAGAATAAGAGATAAATTTATCTCCTATTTTAGATATATTTAGATTTGAGTCAAACTGATGTGTATCTGGAGAATGCAGGCTTTAAATATACTGCTATATTAAATGTGGGTAGAACTTTCGAACTTTGGCATTATGTGGTACTGAGAGCCTTTTTCTTGCATTCAAAATTCATTGATCCTTCATATGCAGATTTAAAATTATTTTACCTGATGACTTCTAGTCTAATTTGCTTTCCTGGGAACCACACAGCCCAGTCATTGCATAATCAATATGAAGTTATTCAAGTGAAGGTAGCGAGGATTTGTGGAAGACAGACATCTGAGTGGGAGTTAGAGGGAAGGGAAGCCCTGTGTTCTCAGCTGCACCAGTCTGGAGTGGAGTTTCTGTCTGGCTGAACTGGGAGGTGGGAGGAAAGGAGTGTGTCTTGTTTCAAATACCACAGATTCCAGTTGTTCTCAACAAATCTTGGTAAGTTTTCTTGAATAAATTTTTCTTCATTTGCTCTATGTCCTAGCGACCATTTCCAGAGACTTTAAATGACTGTTATTTTAGAATTTTCACCAGTTTCACTGGGGAGTGGGTCTACGGAGATCCTCATGCTGTCATGCTGTTAAGTGCCAGTGAGGTCATCTTTTATGCCCAAAATGTTTTCTTGGGTAATACTTTAAAATATTAAAAAAATATTTAAGTTATATTGTTTTGTTACTGTCTTCCTTAGTGGCTCCAATTATATATATATGTTAGAACTCCTTTGACTATCTTCCATTTCAACTACTTTCACTGACAAGTTTTTCTTCTTCTTTTTTCTCATTTTCATTTCTTTGTTTTCCTGTAATGCTCTTTATTAAATTTTTATTTTATTCTACTTCCTCTTGGGCATCTCATAATTTAGTCTCCGTTTCTGATTATGATTTTGCCTTTTTGTTCTATTTTTTTCTTGAATTCAACCAATTACCATTACATTTCTTCTTGTTTTCTTGTCCATTACTGTTCTTTGTATTTCTCATTCAAAAGTGGTTGTTTTTTTTTCATATCCCCAAATGCTTATGTGATGATATTTCATTCAGTTTGGAGTGTTATATTACACTGTAAGTTTTTGTTTTTTTCAGTTCTGCCCTCTACTTAAGAGGTTTCTTTTATGGATATAAAATTCTTTTATGGTTATTGGGGGTTTTTTTGTGGGTTTACTGGGGGGGGGCAGTATGCAAAGGTTATTTCTTGCTTCTCTTTTTATTCCTGCAGGATCTTTTAATTTAATTTCCTTGTTTTGCTTCACTGCCATACTCCTAAGGGGAGCTACCCCTTCTCCATATATATGATTCTCCCTCAGAAGCAATGCTTCTCTGAGGCTACCACTTTGGGTCCCACTGTCTTTCTAATCGCGTCCCTGTATCTTGTGCTGTGAACTACTATGTCCTGACCTGTGTTCAGTTTTTTGGCATTTAGTATTAGACTTTCTCTTTCTGGGCATGCTTTTCTTTGTGCTGCTTCTAACTTGTCCACACCCCTCTACTCTTAAGCCTTCTCTCCCAAGTCTTAGCACTGACAGGTTTGCAATGGTAGGAGGGTGGAAAGAACTCTTTTGGAATTTATTTCTCTACTTAAGACAAGTAGAAAGTTATGGTATTCTTTGTCTTCTAGTCATACTGAAGTGATGCATGATATATGATTTTACTCCCTCTCCTCGTTGATCTGATGATTTTTTTTTTTAGGGTGATGAAAATCAGGCAGCTGCCACTGTCCTCCAAAAACCTTTGTAAGAAGGCTTTTAGTTATGGATTCAATCTCTTCATTAGACACAGGACTAATGTTTTAGTTTTTCATGTTTCTCATCCTTGTCAGATTTTGTCAGTTGTATATTTCTGTATGTAATTTGTTGATTTCATACACATTTTCAAACTCATTCATATAATATTGTTCTCCATATTCTGTTACCATAGTTTATGTAGAATCAGGAATGATAAACACAATATTATCATTTTCGCTACTAGTAATATGTGCCTTCTCTTTTTCTGCTTGATCAGTCTTTTTGGGGATATGGCAGTTTTTAAAAGGCTAATAAGATCTTTGACATTTCTCCCATCAAGAGATGAGGTCTAAGCGCCCTCCGTCCCCTAGAATCTCTGAGGAAGTGACTGCTTCCACCAATAATGTACTGTGGATGTGACATTATATGAATTACGAGGCTAAGTCATAAAATGCCTTGCAACTTCGTGCTGGTTCTGTGGGTATGTTTGCTCTAGGGGAAGTCAGCTGCCATGTAAGAAATCTGACTATCCTAAGACCATAATACTGGAAAAGCAGCAAAGATAAAGACAAAACTATAAACACGAAGACAACTAAAACACAAACACACTCAGTAACCCCACCACAAACCTCCTTACTAGTCTATCCTGACCACACTGTCTGCCCTCTGCCCTCACAAATCCTGAACGTTTCAGTACACGGATAGGGGCATGGTTTAGAGGGCAAAGAATTCAAATAAGAAATGTTATATAGGAAACCACAGGCGTATAGGTAATGGATGAGGCTGTCAGGGAGTACAGTAGTGCTTCATATACCCATATGTGAATAACTAATTTGAATATATTTTTAGTCTGTTCTCCACCCCTAGTTCACATTAAGGGGTGGGGGACAATTAAGTTTTTAACATGCAATGCTGAAATATCCCTACTTCACCACCACACAGTGAATGTGTTGCATTCCTAACCTAGGAACGTAAGCATTTCTAGGAATGTTAATATTATAGTATATAACAAGCACAGTGAAAAGACTTTAAAAAAAAAAACAGTAGAGATTAGGAAAGTTCAGAAAATACCAGCGCCTAGTGTAATGCTTGGACCAATAGGTATTCAATTAATATTTTTTAGATGAATACAAATAAATCAGTTCAGCTCAAGTACCTCATCAGCACAGACCAGATTCTGGTCTAAATTACCACAAGCATCACATGCAATAAAAAGTTACTAAACTATTAATTCATGTCCTTCAAAGTGTTCATCCTTCTGGAACCATATCTACTTTCTTGAGAATAGTTTATTCTCTCTTTCAATGTAAGATGTTTCAAAAAAAAAGATTAAAATAATCTGTTATGATCCACTAAGAAAAAAACCTGGTGATTGTTTTTATGCTAGTGAGGAAAAATGAGAATGTTTTTCTACTGAAGTGGAGTTTTAGTAAATTATTCTGTAGTTTTATGCTGGGTACATCACATATAAAATGAACGAACAACTTAAAATAATTGGTGAATAACCTACCAAATCCAGGAACACTTTTGAGACTGGCTTTGAGGCAAATTTTCTCCAATCTGAGGTAGCTATATCTCATCAGACAATTCCACAGGAACATCCAGTCCATTCTTGTCCGATGATTCATGATAATGACACTTCTTTCTCCAGGAACAAATGCATCACCTGTTATAATCACTTTCACACCAAACATGGTCTCCAGCAATGCCTAAGGAAAAAACAATATAGATATATAACAATTTAAAGCTATGATTTCCCTTAGGTAAATTTTATCATGTCCTAAAAATAAATCTGATTTTTAATAAATCAAAAGCATAGTGTTTCCCATGATCTTGCTTCTATAATAAATCAGGAAAAATAAGTTAATCTGGAAGACTGAGAATATGAAGGCACTGTTTCTATTTTTAGTTTCACTAATTTAAGTTTCTGGCAGTGTCCTAATTTAAAAATGCTAACTTTCATTGAAACCTTCAAGATAGATTATTAAGATAAAAAGAAAAAAGTGTAAAAGGCTTACAAAATTCCACTGTATAATTTTTTAAGGCTATAGATATGTAAGATTATTACATTTTTTTATAGAAGGATAGTGAAGAAATTTAACACTGAGTATAGGGCTGAGGGAACAGAAAGTCAAACTTTTCATTTTATACCTTTCTGTAGTATGATCTTTTTTTAATCAAATACACATATCTGTGTATTTTAACAATACATAAAGAATAAAATAACTATATGTTTACTAAAGTGCTGCAGCCCTAGCACCTACAACAAAGTCTAGCTTATAGAAGATGCTCAAACACTTGCTGAAGTTGTTTAATTAACTTTTCTAATGGCCAGTCATATAATATTTATGAAATATCTAGAGGAGAAGTATATTACAGACTACAGTTCTTGAAAGAACAATAACAGATAATGAGAAAACTTGATTACTTATTTCAATCCCTATTTAAATTTTCAAATAATTTACATGTAACAAATTTACTAGTTAATACTTGACTTCACTATTAAGAGAAAACTGGTCCAAGGCAGATAAAAGATAAGAAAATCAAAAGTTCCTTTGGCAATATCACAAAACCTTGATCAAAGTATATCAAATAAACAAACTGTGGTACAGTCATACAATGGACTATAATACAACAACGAAAATAAATGAACTGCAGGTATCTACAGCAACATGGATAACACACAAGCATAATGCTGATAGAAGCAAAACAAATAAAAAAGAGTAGACACAATAAGTATCCATATATAAAACTTTCTAAAACAAACAGTAAGATATTTTAGGGGTAAATATATAGGTAGTAAAATTATAAAGAACAGCAAGGAAATAACTATCTTACAAGTCAAGTTAGCAGCTACTTCTACCAAACAGAAGGGTGTTGTGACTGGGAAGCTGGGTAGCTTGCTGGAGTGCTGGCAATGTTCTATTTCTTGATATGGTTGATAGTTACACTTTAAAATTATTCATTAAAGTGTGCATTTAGGCTTTATTTTCAGTATGCTTGTTATATTTCACACAAAAAGCTTTTTTTTTTAAAGAATATGATAAAAAAGAACAACAGGACTTCAAAAACATAAGAATAAATAGGAGTTAAAAAGAGTATTAGCTAAAGAAAAAAGAAGTTAGAAATGTTATACATCCAAAGTCTTACAGAGTCAGAGTGTTAACCATCTTAACAAAGTAAAACAAGATCCTTTGGGCTAACGTAGCTACAGATAGCCCTCAGGTCCTCATTGAGTTACTTTCCCAGGGCTGAGATTCACTTTAGGGAATGGGTATGTAACCTGGCGTCTATCAAGCCCTAGAAAAGAAAGCCTTCAAGAGGACCATAAACATGAACCTCCCTTGAAATTGTGTACAAAGATATGTGAATATGTACAGAGGTACTTTGTTAGGCAGAATGCCAGCAGTTTTCATCAGATTTTCATAAGGGTCCATAACCACTCAATTATAACCTCCCACTCCAAAATCTCCGGGTAGTTAAGTCCCTATGTGGAAGATTTCATGAAGGAGAGGATCATGGCAGAGTTCTTTAGGCTTGGACCCACTGCAAGAAATATCTCCTTTGCTACCTGTAAGCATAAAGGGCCGTCAACCATGAAAATGAATCACCGAACCATAAGTCTTGGCCCAGAGGCTGTGTGTGAAGTTGCCATCCAAGGTTAATTTGGATTAGCTCCACTCTGCTTTCCAAACATGATATACTTTTCAGTATTTCCAAAAAACTGAAATGCAGGATGCCCTTCCCTTAACTGGTAGAAAGAGGAAGTTGATTGTTAATTGTATGTTGTATTATAGAAAAGAGTTAAAAATCTTAAACTTATAACCTGAAACCTCAACTCTAACATTTTACGTGCAATTTCTAATACATGTTTCCTATGGATTCCAAAACAAGCTTTTGCTTTTCATCATGGAAAATGTCAAAAGAAAAAATCCCAGCCTGTTTGTCCAGGAGCATATCATACGGCATTCTCTCCCTTGCCATCCAGCACTCTATCAGAATGTGCCTGAAAGTTATAGACAACCTTTTGGGCAGCCTAGATCTCAAGCTCACATTAATCATTTTTAACGCGAGACAAGACATATCTAGTCAATGTTATTTACAGCTCCCACAAAGTCATAATAACAAAACGCTACACAGAGATAGAGTTGTAATGCCTATAAAGAACTCTAGAACTCAATCTAGATTAACAACTGTAAAAAAATATTTCTCATATTTGTTCTATTTCTAGTATAGCAGGAAACCATTTCAGTAGTAAGAAACTAATCTTATAAAATTTTATAATGCTTTATTTGTTATATTGAACTAAGAGCCACAATTCTCATGACTTTACCTAATTGGACAAAAATTTCTCCCAGAATTAGAAATATGGAGGCAATTTCTGAGGATCTTTTATTTACCACTATTTACTACCTCCAAGCGTTCCACAGTATCTGAAAACACAAAGATGAGAGGTTCCCCTCATGATCAGAGAGAATCAGTTTTGCCATCATGCCCCAAGCTCTCATTTACAATTTCAATGGATCTTTATTCAGTCAAGGGTAAGAACAACTCTATGACATTCCTCATCTGCAAGTCTGCTTTAGCTTTTCAGACTCAGCTTAGGCCTGGCTCCTCAAATCCTTAGCTATTTAAGGCCTTGCAATCCCAAGTCATTCATCAAACAATGAGCACCCCCTTTCTTAAGAGCAGCAGTCTAGACAGAAATTATTAATCTGTGTTCATTGAATACCTGCTTTGTTCTAGGACTAGAATGGAATCAGCAGGCTGTGGAATAAACTTACCTCCTAGGTGGGGAGTTAGAAAAGGACCTCTAAATTCCTAAGTCTTCATTTATGGTGAAAGGACAAAACTCCAAGTAATTTTCATAATCCCAGGTAATTAGCTAACAACTGCACTGTTAGAAAGACTCAGAATTTTGAGAAGCAAAAACAGCTCTGGTCACATGCCAAGTTTGACCCTGACAGTATTATACTAAACAGAACCATTCAAAAATGAAATGAACAAAGAAATGCACTCCCCATTATAGAAACGCAAGAGAGACTGAATGGTCACTCCATAGACTGTGCTAGAAGGAATTCTTACACACTCAGGTAGGTTAAACTAGATCACCTCTAAGTCTCATCTAACTCTAAGATTCTAAAAGATTTTACTGGAGTACTTCATTTAGCACAGAAAATGTGCTCCTTAAATATAGTAAGACAAGGGGCCAGGCCAGTGGGGTAGTGATTAAGTTTGCCCACTCTGCTTCAGCGGCCCAGGGTTCGCAGGTTCGGATCCTGGGTGTGGATCTACGCACCACTCATCACGCCATGCTGTGGCAGTGTCCCATACACAAAATAGAGGAGGATGAGCACGGATGTTAGCTCTGGGCCAATCTTCTTCAGCAAAACGAGGACGATTAGCAACAGATGTTAGCTCAGGGCCAATCTTCCTCACCAAAAACAAAACAAAGCAAAACAAAAAAAATAGTAAGACAAGAAAAATCTTGCCAATGAAATCATTTTAATGCACAGGAGAAGCTTACAAAAGAGAAGATCATTTTGTGATTGTTTCTCTGAACAATAATTAGTCTAAGCGCATTTACCCTAATTTATTTTTACTTAAAAATGATGTTTAACTGTTTGAGATTGCTTAAAATAAAGTATACCTATAGGAGGGAAAAGACTAAATTCCCTCTGAATAAAAAATGACCTATTCTAATATTTGCTTCAAAATAAAAACTCCTTTAACACCTTGTAAAAGTTTGAAATAAGGTCATAAAATACACCATGACAAGGTTTCCTCATTTCTTTAAACAGAGATGCTCACTATCTCAAAATCAGAACATCAATTTTCTGTAACTTTGCTTTAAGGGATTTGACGTCAATAAATCTCTTAACTGAAAGACTCTCTGCCTGATATGCTGTTACTAGTGAGCACAGCAGTGAGTTAAACAGCTGGGGAATATGAAGTTTTCTCAAATATATACCAATTTAAAACTATAGTGGTCACTGAATCTCGCCTATGTGTTAAGTGTTCAAGTCAGGTAATAAGGCAAAAGTCAGGAAGAGCTGAAGTTACCTTGAAAATCTCAGAGGAAGGTGTCTCACAAGAGACCAGCACACTATCTATCAGTAAGTCCTGCTCAGCCAGTTTTATCTGAATGTTAGACCAGATTTCTCCAGCTGACCATCAGATGAACTGATTGGTTTGTGTGTTGTTTTAGACACAAGAATCTTACTCAGCATAGGACCACTTACATTTCCCATTGCATCTCACATGAAGTGGGGGGGTAGAGGGGAACCCTACATTTAAAAAATTCATCTCTCTCTACTCTTCCCTCACCCATCCTAGTGCATGCAGTTGAAGATGTATAAGGTTAATAGATACATGATGTAATTCTGCTGTAACAGTAACGGTACTAGTAGTAGCAGCAGTAGAAGCAGCTATGGCAGAATTTGTCCAGTATTGTGTCCAGTAAAATCCAGCATTTCTTCCAGAGTAATACATTTTAATCATGTACAGGGCTGCCCGGAAAAGAAAGACTACATTTCCCAGATCCCATTACAGCTTTTAGCTGTTTTCACCAATGGGATGAGCAAAAGACATTATGTGCATCTTGTAATTCACTGGTCTAAAAAACGCTTGCTCTGGACTTCCTCCCCTCCCCGCTTCCTGTATAGTGGGACAAAGAAGTGGTAGTGATCAGTCTTGACCATACAGAAGA